TTGGTTTTCTTTCTCTCCCTCTCTTTCTTTCATTCTTTCTCCCTGTCCTATCCCCCAGTCATGTCTGTCCCGTTTGTAGCAACTGAAAATAAAATAAATTCATAATTATAATAAAGGTCAATCAAATGGACCAATATGGCAAGGCCATGATGATCCACTTGGTAAAATAAATCCGCTTGGCATCTTTCTTGGCCTTAAGACAACAATTCTGATGGCTAAAGATCCAAACGGGACACAAAAAAAAAAAAAAAGAAAATTAAAACCCCTTCGGAGACATATTGTACCAAACGACTCACGGACCGGTACCGGTCCGAGGCCCGGGGGTTGGGGACCGCTGATGTAGGCTCTCCACAAGCTTGGTTGTCTGTTCTTTGTGTGTTTTGATTAAAGAATGTTAGCTACCACTCACCGCTCGTCTGCAGGCTTTATTTAATGGAAAACTTCCACAACAAACCTAAATCTTAAAGATGAAAGGAGTTACAAATTGTAATCCCAGACTCGCCTTAAATGTGATCAATGAAGTGCCCTTTACAAATATAATACAAACTGATCAACATTTACTATTAGCCTCTACTCCACCTGACATGAAGTTTCAGATAATTGAGTGTATCATTTGACTATATATATCCAGAATCAGGTATGATATAATCTTTATTTTTTTTATCTCATAGTTTGTGCTTTGTCCTAGTGTCTTTATGTCTTTTTTTTAAACTTCACCACCCAGGTGGTTACAGCAGATGGCTGTCCAACCTTGGGTCTGGTTCTACCATGTCTTTGTGTTAAAAGGCACTACTTCCTTCCCACTGTTACAGAGTACTTGCTTGTAAAAAAGCCTACTTTTTGGGCTTTTCAAACTAATATTGCATTCTTTAACCTTGAAGTGACTGTTGTTTTGAAATTGCATCATATAAATATAGCTGAACAGAAATTCTATTGATCCTGCTCTGGTATAACCCATGCTCTTATAGTTGTGTTATATTGCTGGGGGAATGTGTATTTTTAATTTATTCTGAGCGTTATTATGTGACATCTATTTAGCATTTTACGTACATTAATTTAACTTTAATTGAATACCAATAATTTCCGTAAAACGTTTCCCACAACACTACTTTTAACAGTTCTCAAGTTAATACTTTTTAACTTTCAGGTCATAACTGAACTGTGGCATTAAACTTCTTTACTTGCAAATTGCATAGTTGGTGGCTGCATAATTACTTGCTGCTTAGTAAATCAGATGTTAATTCCAGACAGACTGCGAGTGTAAATTCAGTAATTATCAGTATTTTTTTTTTTTTCACCCATTGTTAATTGCAAAGATCATAGACGGATCCAGCTGGATACCATTAGCATTTCCATTAGTTTCTGTTTATGTGATGTTCATGTAGATTAAGAACATATTTTGCATGAATGAGTTTTTTTCTATAAAGTCACAGAAAATTAACTTTTCAAGTTTATTAGTGATACCTGAAACATATTCAATATAAGGGACGCAAGTATGCCACAGCTCCAATGTATTTAGTTTCAGTTAGACAGATACATATGCGCGCGCGCACACACACACACACACACACACACAC